GGCGCCGCCATGACATCCAACTGTCCGTTAAGGGTAAGGTGTACATCGCCGCGGCTCGTAGCGTTCTCCTTTACGGCTGTGAGACTTGGCCCCTCCGCGTTGAGGATGCTAATCAACTTTATGCATTTGACCACCGATTTTTTTATTACATACCTAGGTGTGATGAACATCAGACGGAGCGGACCTGCTGTTCACAGATGGAAACTGGTAACCTAAGCCCCGGGACTTGGAGTGGCGAACCACATAAGGCCCCGATATGTTAGGCGTGGTATTGAACCGGACGACAGCAGAGCTGCCTACCACCAATGTCTCCGATGCATTGCTCATGTCTGGTGGAAACACCGGGTGAGTAATGACGAGGTTCGCCGTCGTGTGTTGGGTGCGGATAGTCGTTCTCTAGCGGAAGTAATCGCTCTACACCGCCTCCGATGTCTTGATCACGTATTGCGTATGCCTGCCCATAGACTACCTTTCCGTGCTCTGTTCGCACCTGCCGAACAAGGCTAGAGGAAGCGCCGCGGCGGTCAGACCATGATATGGGCTTGAGGTATGAAGAGGCTGGCTTGATTTGGTGCAGCCCGCCTTCCAGGTGGGGCCCCAAGGGATGAGGATTGTCGTTGGTTAGAGACGCTGAGAGATATGGCTCAGAATAGAAGTCAGTGGCGCGAATGCTGTACGGTCTGCCTATCGAAATCCCGTGCCCCGTAAAAACAACAAATAACAAACAATTTCAAAGGTCTATGGTAAAACAAAAAATTTTGTTATCCCAGTTATCTTCCATTTTCCCGTGTTTAACTTTTCTCCCTTTTCCCACTCTATTCTGTACCCCAATCCACCTATCCCCTTTTATTGTTATTGTTATTATTGTTATATATACATATATATTACTGTATTCCAGGTTTTCGCGTCGTCTGCAAACAGTATTGTTTTTCCCCCTAATTATTCGCTAGATGATTCATGAATGAGAGAAAAAGTTGGGGAACAAGTAAAGACCCTTGTGGAACACTGCAGGCAACGTTGATCGAACTGAACAGGGAATCAGAAACACGAACTGATATGGTCCGTTTTCGTAGAAATGTTCTAATCTATTCAAGCTCGAAACCTAGCATATCGGAATTGTAATTTTTATGTAGCAAAATTTGGTGGGTTACCCGATCAAATATTTTCGAGAAGTTCAAATAAATCACATCCACCACATCCCTTTAGTCAACCGTTCTGGTTCATTTATCTCGAACAAGAAAAGCAAGTTGGTAAAACCATCATTTTCGCCTAAACCCATGGCAAAAAAGTTGTATCCCTCCAAGTGTTCTATCAATATATATATATATATATATATAAACACCAATCTTTACAGATACGAAACCAAAAATAACCATGGGTGAACGAAAAAATATAGGTACAAAAACGGGGATAATAAAACAGTCAACTTCGAGGAGTAACAATTTTTTGTTTGTTTACTGCACCCCATTTTGTGGGTTTTTCTTTATTTTTGGGATTGTAGACAGGAGGTGATGCATTCGCGCCACTGACTTCGGTTCGATGCCATATCCCACAGTGTCTCCAGCCAAAGACGATCTGAATCTTTGGGGCCCCGGCCGGGGAGCCGAGAAACCCCAACGGAATCCAAATCCTAGTACAATCTCTTTAACCCTCTGCGTCACATCATAGCCTGTCCACCTCGTTGTTTCTTCCAGTCTGAACCGATGTCTGCGAGTAGTGCACGGTGTGGCAGATGGTGCTCAGGCATTTGTAGGACGGGCCCTAGCCACCTAAGACGATGCTGCGAAATTATTTTGCCCAAAGGAAGACTATCTGGTCCCAGCATCCGTCGTCTGACTTCATCGTTATTCACGCGATGCTTCCACCATACGCGGGCGATGTTGCGCAGACAGCGGTTGTCGAAGACTGATAGCTGCTGGACGTGATCTGCTCCGAGAGGCCAGGTCTCGCAGCCACAGAGCAACACGGTGCGTACCATTGCGCAATACACACGCCCTTTCAATGAAAGTGATATATCGGCCCGGCACCAGAGATGCCGCAGATTAGCGAACGCTAATCNCAGGGATGGGTTCCTGCCAGTCCTGCAGTAACACTGCACTTTGAAAGTGCAAATGACATACCATGACGAGTAACCAATTTCCAAACGGTTCAGTGACTCTTGAATCATTGGTGCGTTGTCACCCAGTAAGGCAATATCATCGGCGTACTGTAAGTCTGCGACTCTGTCCCCCGGAAGAAGCTCGACGCCAGCGTTCGCTGCGTTATGTAACGCGTTTTGTAGGACATCATCTATGGCAAAGTTG